AGAATTTTAATATTTCTTATTAAAAATAATAGACAATTTACGAACTATACATATATAACTAGTTTAAATAATGTTTACCCAGTTCGGTACTTTTACAGGTTACCAATAATTGGAAAGCAGTGTCCATATATTTAAAGCCAGTTGAACAGTTTATTTTCTTTATACTCAATCTAGACATTCTTGGATTGATTGAAGATGTTCACTGAATACTTACTTACTTACTTACTTACGCCTGTTACCCCTAATGGAGCATAGGCCGCCAACCAGTTTTCTCCAACCAACTCTGTCCTGGGCTTCCCTTTCCAGTTCTGTCCAATGTTTGTTCATTCCTCTCATATCTTTCTCTATTTCTCGGCGTAATGTGTTCCTTGGCCTTCCTCTTTTCCTTTTGCCTTGAGGGTTCCATGTAAGGGCTTGTCTTGTGACGCAGTTCGGTGCTTTTCGTAGTTTGTGTCCTATCCACTTCCACCGCTTCTTCCTGATTTCCTCCTCCACTGGAATCTAGTTTGTACTCTCTCAAACAGTAGGGTGTTGCTGATAGTGTTTGGCCAACGGATCTAAAGTATTTTGCGTAGAAAACTGTTAATAAATACTTGTATCTTTTGGATGACGGCTTTCGTAGTTCTCCAAGTTTCCGCTCCATACAGTAGAACTGTCTTCACATTTGTATTGAAAATCCTGATTTTGGTTTTGGTTGAAAGTTGTTTTGAGTTCCAGATATTTTTCAACTGTAGAAATGCAGCCCTTGCTTTGCCAATCCGCGCCCTCACATCTGCATCGGATCCACCTTTCTCGTCGATGATGCTGCCAAGATATGTAAAGGTGTTAACGTCCTCCAAGGCATCTCCATCAAAAGTGATTCGTCATTCAAAATAGCTTGTTGTAAATTGTTTGAATTTACAGTGAAACGGTAGTTATGAGTTTAACTGAGAACCGATGATATTATGGTAGAGTTCTAGAGAATTATTCAACTCATACAAAAGACAGACTCATTTCACGAACGTTTCAACAAAATGTTCATTGAATACTTCTAGTATATTTTCAATAGTACATCGCTGTGCTTAGTCTTAAACGAGTTAGTTATGAAGAAATACTTCTAACAAGTAATACGGTTAAGTTAGAAAAATGTTACTAGACTTTAGTAGGACGCCAACATGTTTCCTAAAAATTGTATTTACTATAGGCTTCATTGTAAACTATAGAACCGCAATACTCATGAGTTTTCTGTTATTATTTAAGTGATATCAACTGGTAATCGAAAATCCAGGCGTTATTCTGCAATACTTAAATCAAATCCACTTAGTGAAATCATGTATTTTTCAGAGTTGGTGTGTCCTAGTAGTGAATATCACAAAAGTGTACACCTATGAACTTACAGACCACCTTTAGGTTTCGTGGTTTCTCAAGAATACAGATCCAATTTGCTTCTCATGAAATACAACGAATGTTGACATGAGACCAGTTCTACAACAAAGAACGAACAATGAAAGGTTAGTACTTACAGTTGTATATTACTCAATGCAATCAAACATCTTTAATGAACTTTAGATATGTTCAGCGGGTAGTAGAAAAAATGTTTTAAAGGTACTATTTCAATTATCAACGAAACCAATACATGCACCCAGTAAGAGTTAACAATAAATTCCATACCACAAATCCCCACTGTTGGATTATGATCAGGAATCATTTCGCCTGTACTACTACATAAAAAGGATCATAGATTACCTCCTATTCGTTGAAATCTGGTCACTATCTAGTGTAGATTATACACCAGAACTTGTTCACAAGTATCAGTTGCAAAAGACGAACAATATGTACGAAATGTTTCAGATTAAAGTTGCATAGTTAGGGTTCAGTCAGTGAGAGAAAAAAACGGTCATGAGGAATTCAGATTAGAATTTGATACACCTGAGCCATTGCAAACAATTTTGATACATGTCGTTCAAGGTCGCTAACCATCGGGTACTATCATCTCGCGGACCCCAAATTGTCAGTGACTTCATAGATTTGTGTCATGTTTTAGTCAAGCCACCCCCAGCTTTCTTCCAGCCGGTCCCTAAATCAGGCGTCAAAGCTGGCCGAGGCAGTCGGTGGCTGACGAAGATTCACTACTTCATCTATTGATCTGCCATCCTTCCATAATATTCTTTTCCTAACACCTGAACTGCTAAACTATGGTCCCAAAATATACGAGCAATCCTCCGAAGGCACCTATGATCGAATGCTAATAGCCTACGAATATCTTCTACTCCTACCGGCTGTGATTCACATCCATACCCGACCGCGGCTGCTACCTTGACGTGGTGGTCGGGCTTGCCTATCGTGATGACCCAACCGAGCTATACTGGCTGGAACATATGTTCCTCAAGGTTCTACCATGTCAGGCAGGTCGATTGCAGAACCGTGAGACTAAAAGCAGCTACTCAAGATCTGAGGGTGAAGTCGTACTGCTGACTGCAGAGGGGTGTGACAGCAGTAAGGTGTTTCCCTCGGAAAACCAACATCTACAGCGATGCTGCCTTCTCACAAGGAAGGAAGGGTTAGAAAAGTTCGACCCTAAAAATGTCACACCTCACCCTACCTCACGGATTTCCGTCTCCGTCGGTAAGGGTGCCCACTAAGGGCCTTTAAGAACGGAGCTAATCCTCTAAATAGCTTTCATAAAAAAGCCGTGCGTGACCGGCCTCAAGCAGTTGTCCCTTGGGCTCTGCGGTCACGCACCAACACTAATCCATCTTCCTTTTCAGGTCCCTCAAGAAACAACCTTCCACGGTGTGGGCAGCCGGGAAGTGACAACCGCCCTCATACCCGTAACAGCACGCGAGACCAAATTGGTCAAAATCAAATCCTTCCTACATCCCCTAATGTCTCTCTTATCTCTACGACTAACTCTACTCACACTCCCTTTTCTCACTGCACCGCTAATGCAGACGAGGCGAGGTCACGAAACGTCGTTCCTGGTCTCTTGAAACCCCGTTCTAGACTACATGTTGGAGCTTTTAATGTACGGACATTGTGTCAAATAGGGCAACAGGCATCATTAGCTAGGACTTTAGAATCTCGTGCCATCGATGTATGCTGCGTCTCGGAAACGCGCATACAGGATCCTAGTAAAATTATTAATCTGATTTCACCTTGTCAAAATAAAGAAGCAGCTCGATTTACTCTTCGTGTATCTGGAAGCCCTGATGCTGCTTCCAGGGGTCTTGCTGGCGTAGGCATAGCATTGAGTCGTAGAGCTGAACAATCTCTCCTTGACTGTATCCCTGTAGATAGTCGCTTGTGCACTGCTCGATCAAACGAGACAGAAAGGACTCGGAAGGATAGGGACACTCGCCGTTGCTTCTTCGTCGTATCTGCCTATGCCCCCACTGACTGCAGTTCAGACGAGGTTAAAGATGAGTTTTACAGAAAGCTTTCGGACCTCCTCTAAAAAGCTAGGCGCTCTGATATAGGATTAATGGCTGGTGACTTTAATGCTCAAGTAGGTAGACTAGGTGAAAAGGAAAGACATCTTGGATGTTATGGTGTAGCGACTGAGAGAACAGACAATGGTGACCGTCTGTTGCAACTATGCTCAGACAACCGCCTATTCTTAGCGAACACCAACTTTAGGCATAAGGAAAATCATCTGTTGACCTGGCGACCTCCAAAGTCGTCTCAACGTTGGACTCAACTAGATCACATCATAGCCACCGATGGAGGGGTTCGATAGAAGACTGTCGCTCGTTCTGGGGCACATGTTTGGATTCAGATCATGCTCTAGTGCGAGCTCGTATCTGTTTGAGGCTTACTGGGCGTAGGAAAGACACCGTAAGGAAGCCTCTTAGGGTTTTACTTAATGGTAATAAGGCGAAGAATATATTTCAGGAACAACTAGAAAGAAAGTTAGGGAATCATGTAAACAATTCCCATCCGGAAGCAGGTTGGTACGATATCAAAAAGGCTGTGGAAACAGCAGTGATATCTGCTAGTAAGGTTGACCATATGTCTAGAATGAAGCCGTGGATCTCAGTAGCATCCACCGAACCGATGGATGCTCGAAAACTCATCCCATCTGGCTCTGAACATGATGATGAACGAAATCAGCTTAGGCGCAGGCTGATAAAAAGCCTACGCAACGACCGTGAACAGTGGTGGGTGGCGAAAGCAAAAGCGATGGAAAAGGCAGCGGCGATCGGCAACACTAGACAACTTTTCCGACTTACCAAGGAAACTGGTATTAGGAATCCTAGTGTAAGTGAGACTGTCTCGGAAAAGGATATGACTATTATTTATTCTCAATCCAGGAGACTGGATCGATGGGCAGAACACTTTAGGGATCAGTTCAACTGGCCTCGAGCCACTCTTCGGTTACCCACGATCTCCAGTCATCCTGAATGACAAATCGACGTAAGTCCGCCTAGTCTTTATGAAGTTGAGAAAGCGTTAGGAAATCTGAAGCGAGGACGAGCTGCAGGACCTGATAGACTGACCCCTGAGATATTTAAGGATGGTGGTCCAGTTTTAGCAGCTAGGTTGACTGAGATCTTAGGTAGAATCTGGGAACTGGACGTAATCCCACCCGAATGGTCTCAATCACTGATTGTCACAATCTATAAGAAATAACTTAAGTCTTCATGTGACAATCACAGGGGAATAAGTCTAACTAATATAGTATCTAAAATATTGGCCTCAATAATACTTCGACGCTTAACGAAAGCTCGTGAAGAGCAGACTCGAGAAAACCAGGCTGGTTTTCGACCTGGACGTGGTTGTATAGACCACATCTTCACACTACGACAGGTCCTGGAACACAGACACATATTGAGGCGTCCTACAATAGTTGTTTTCCTGGACCTGAAAGCGGCATTTGACTCTGTAGATCGTGAGGTTCTGTGGCAGTGTCTGTCATTGAAAGGTGTACGAAAGAAGTACATTAACCTTATACAGGCCCTCTACTCGAACACTACAGGTTGAGTGAGAGCTTATGGCGAACTGTCATCACAATTCTTTACTTCAAGTGGTGTCCATCAGGGATGTCCACTCTCTCCATTCTTGTTTAATTTTATCATAGACATGCTCCTAGAAATAACCTTATCCTCGTCTGAATTTTCAGGAGTAGACCTTCTACCAGGTGGCTCGCTTATTGACTTAGAATATGACGGTGACATAGTCCTACTTGGTGGAGACGCTGACAAAATGCAGAGTCTTCTGACCACCCTAAGCAACAATCCAAGCATGTTTGGGATGCGGTTTCCCACCTCGAAATGCAAAATGTTGCTTCAATACTGGGGTGCATCGGCACCTGAACTAGTGATAGGGAGTGAAGTAGTCAAACGTGTAGACCGCTTCACTTATCTTGGGAGTCTCATCAGTGCCGATGGCCTGGTGACTGACGAAATCTCGGCACGGATACAGAAGGCTCGATTGGCTATTGCCAACCTGAGTCACTTATGGCGAAGGCGAGATATCCGTTTGCTGACTAAAGGACGAGTGTACTGCGCAGTAGTTCGCTCCGTCTTACTTTATGGCTGTGAAACATGGCCAGTGAGAGTAGAAGATATTCATAGGTTACTGGTTTTCGATCATAGGTGTCTTCGAAGCATTGCTCGTATATCGTGGGACACCCGAGTGAGCAACGCTGTTATTAGGAATCGGGCGCAGATCAATAGATGAAGTAGTGAAACTTCATCAGTTGAGATGGTTAGGACATGTGTTGCCTATTCCTAACCAGCGACTGCCTCGAAGAGCTTTCTTTTGTGTTGTGGGAGTAGGTTGGAAGAAAGCTAGAGGCGGCCAGACCAAAAGATGGCAGGAATCCATGAAGTCATTGACGAGTGGACTTAGCCATGTCGGTAATTGTCGACTACCTGGTTGGGGTCCGCGAGATGATAATAATCGATGGTTAGAGACCTTGAATGACATGGCTCAAAATCGTTCGCAATGGCACCGGTGCATCCACTCTTACTGTTCTCTCAAATCCCAATCTTCTGGATTCTTCAACACCTCTAAACTTTTCTCACTGAATCATACTCCTTGAATAATATCTTCTAATCCTAACCTCTTCGATTACTTCTAATACCCTTACTACCTCTTCTACTATTGGATTTGAATTGACAATTACATCTGTGTGCTGATGTGGTATGGCAACATGAACTGATGTACTTACGTACGAAGTTCTACGTTGCATCTGACTGACTGATTCACATCCATAAAGTAGGAGGGAGCGAAACGCTGTGTAGTAGACTCGTCCTATGGTTAGCAGATGGATAACTCTGCTGAGATCGACAGAGTCGAGTGCCACCTTAAGGTCGAAGAATATATCTATTGAGACACAGAAATGTGCCTACGTTCTAATATTTTAGACCTGTTACTAGTTAAACTGATTTCTCTGTGATTGTCACAAGACGACTTCCATCCTTTCTTATAGACTGGGACAATCAGTGATTGAGACCAGTAGGATGGGATTATGTCCACTAATCTCATTCGAACCCAGTCAACCTAACTGCTACAACTGAACAACTACCCTTAAAAAATCTCTGAGGTAGGTCTGTCAGTCGCTCACAGTCGCCTTATATTCCTTATAGCTTTTCAACTTCATTAAGACGTTGGAGGACTAACATCAATTAGCCATCCAGGTTGACTGGAGATCGTGGGCAACGGAAAGGTGGATAAAAGCCAGTTGAACTGATCCCTGAAATGTTCTGCCCATTGATCCAACCTCCTGGACTGAGAAGGATTACAGTCCCATTCTTTCCCCAGACAGTCTCACTAACAGTCGGATTTTTAATAAGTTCCCTAGACCAGTCTGGATAACTGTCCACTGTTATGTATCGCCACTGCCTCTCCCATCTTTCTTTCGCTAATTACCACTGTTCGCGATCATTATGTATGCTTTTTATCAACCTGCGCTTAGGCTGACTACGCTCCTCACCATATTCAGAGCCAGACGAGATGAGATTTTGAGCGTCCATTAGCTTAGTAGATGCTACTGTTATCCATTGTTTCTGCTAACCTCATGATTCGCCTTACTGGCAGATATCACTGTTGTCTCCACAGACTTATGGATATCATCGCGAAGTGCCTCAGAGTGGGTATCACTTACGTGGCTGCCTGTTTTTCTAGTAGCCTTGCTAACATTAAGTAAAAAACTAATGATGGAACCTATAGGAACATATGTTTCAGCTAATTCAGCTCGGTTGGGTCATCACAATGGGCGAGCCCAACCACCACGTCAAGGTAGCAGCAACGGTCGGAGATGGTCAGCGTTTTTTGGGCTATACTTGACTTTCGACTACATCCAGAAAACGAAAACCAACTTGAATGGATTTAGTAGCGTTTTTAAAGATTATGTTACAAAACGACGTGTTCCCCTAAAAGAACTGCAAGTCATTTTACTTTCTGTTTGTTCCACACAATTTCTAAACTGTAGATTGTCCACTACTGTTTGTCTAGTATATATTCGAAGGAGAAAGTCAACTGAACCAGAATACTTATTGAGATCTGAAAAACATTTTACACTGAATGCATTGCTCACATCGGCAAGTGAATGTGAATCGAACATTTCAACCACAAGAAAATAGTCGGACTACAACAATTTCTCAAGAATATTTAGTTCCGTTAATTGGGGATTTTCGGTTGGAAGAATTGAAATTTATTAAATTACAACAAATACCATGGTAAATCCACGCATACTTGAGTCGTAATGGAGTGTCGCAAACATCTGTGAACCCGTGTTGTTGTGAATCGAAATTATATAATAACTCAATGGTGGTTTTATGTCTAGTGAAACACAAGAATGAAATCATTAAAAAGCATACATATGGAGCATATATGTACTAGTATTGAAATAAGATGTGACAATAAAATAATTCTGCCTTACGTAAGCAGTTACATACAATAATGTTATTTTTAAGGTCTTTTTACAAGAACTGAAGAAGCAAAAGAGGGTCATTAAAAAAAACTGACAAATCGTTATTGTTTAACCTTTTATTCCAATTCACTTAGCATTTCTCGTCGTTTATCTCTATACACACCAAGTTTTTGTGTACGGATTTTTGATGCTACTGCATTATTCAATCGTTTTTGTTCTTTAAAAGCTTTAGGGTGGGCTCCATTTTGCTGTACCAGCGACGGTAAACCAAGATCAAAGAGATTACGAATATACGGGTTCTCGCGAAGGTGACGCCTTATTCCACTTCCTAGCACTGAGCACAAGAAGTTATAGTAGAAGTGTCCAGTGCAAGATGACAACGTCAAAACTTCAACACCAAAGTTTATTGAGGTTTCAGGATAGTCACAGTGTACCACGGCCTCTACAAGTTCCCGAAAAGAATGACGTTGCTTCTTGCGATCAATTTTAGAGCGGTTTTTTGAGCTATCTGTAGCTAATTCACCAAGTAGACGAACAAGATCGCTGTAATATGGACCTTTGAATTTATCATCAACTTCGTTTCGAATGCGTTCATAAATGACTGCTGAAGCTTCACCTGCTATTATACGAACATCCACATTTGAACACTGGAGCAAAGATAGTAAAACAGGAAGCACAGCCTTTCCAACATTACCAGAATCGTGTGGTGATAGAAAAGTATATATAAGTGTCCAAGCTTTAAGTGCCGCCACATAAAGATCAGAAATGTCAGCTTCGGAATGAGAGGTTTTCACGTCAATTTTTGAAGTAGAGCCTCTGAATACAAACTCAAATGACTTTATAACATCCAGTGGTGAGATAAAATCACAATAGCCTGACAAAGACTGCAGTACTGAAAGAGCTATGGCTGAAGATCCTCTGAATTTATAACTTTTGGTGGGATCACGAATGATAGGCTCTAAGATAGGAAAAAACCTTTCGAACCATATAGGTACTTCATGTGGATCAATTTGTAGAGAGAATACCGTTAGTAAATCTGCAGCTAATGCCTGATCTTGCGGCTTACTCTTCTTGAAGATATTTTCAATGCTGGTTATTAGTGTTTCAGTGTAGTTCCAAGAGCCATCCAAACAGAAATAATGTGAACGGAATAACTCAATTAATGAACGTAATGCATTAATTCGAGTTTCCGTTCTCTTTTCTTCTATTAAATCGATCGCTGAGCAAACTTTATCAAGAAGTGATTGTAGAGCCAATTCATCTTCAGCCTGCAAATATTTTCAAAATAAACAGATTAAAGAGACTTTCACATGCTAGTGGAGAATATAAATTCAAGTTAAAGTTAAAAAGTAAAAGAGCATCAGGTTACACCTTAGAAGTGAACTAATGAAGTTACCCGCCTACTCAAACCAAACCAGTAGAATACAAATCAAAGACTTAGTAGATGATATCACCTAGTTGTTCAAACTAAGAGAATTATGAACGCATGGTAACATGTGATTTAATGATAAGAAGGATACGAACTCGATAAAAATTTAGTCGAAAAAGCCAATACGATCAGGGAGTTTGAAAAAATTAAGTACGAACAGAGAAAGCAACCCAGACGAAAAACTCTGAACTAGAGTGAACTAAGTATGTTTTTTTAGCCTGATTACCGTAGGAAACGTATCTTCGATCGATTTTTAGGTTGGTAATTCATAATTCAAATCATCTAGATGAAGGAAAAAAGCTGACATGATGCATAACGTACATCAAGGTTCAGATATGCAATCTATAAACAGAATTCAGTTCTCTCGGAATAAATCGACACAAAAACTACTGTTTAATTTAACAGAGTAACGTATAACTGAAATATCACAACCTGTTTCAGGTCATATAAGTACATGGTGTGACGAAATCTCAGCACAAATGCAAAAAACTCGAATGGCTTTTGGAAAATGCGTCGCTTATAGTGTAGGAGAGATATCCATCTACCAACCAAAGGACGAGTTAGCTGTACAGCAGTTCGCTACATGCCACCATACGGATGTGAAACTACCAATTAGAAAAGAGGATATCCATAGGTTACTAGTATTCGATCATGGGTGTCTTAGAAGCATGAAGTAACAACAATCCCAGGGACAAATTTAGATGAGTTATGGATGACTGCTCTATGTTATTCATGTACAAAAAACATTTTCATTTAATATCGACTCTTTAATAACCGAAGGCTTGTGTAGGAGTAGGTTGGAAGAAAGCTAGGGGCGGCCAAACCAAAACATGGCAGAAATCCATGAAGTCACTGACAAGTGGACTGAGTCATGTTGGTAGATGTAGACTACCTGGTTGGGGTCTGCGAGACGAAAGTCATCAATGGTTAGAGACCTTGAACGACATGGCTCAAAATCGTTTGCAATGGCCCAAGTGCATCCATTCTTTGAGCTCTCTCAAATCCTAATCTTCTGGATTCGTCAGCACCTCTACCTTTGTCTTTTTCTAACCTTATCTCTCCGAATTATACTTCCTGAATACTATCTTCAAACCCTAGTCTCCTTCATTACCATTAATACCTCTACTATCTTTATCACCATGGGATTTGATTTGACATTTGCGTCTCTGTGCTAATGTGATGGTATGGCAACATGAACTTATGTACATACGTTCGAAGTTCTACGTTGCAACTGACTGCCTGACTGAAGGCTTGTGTGCAAATCGCTTTGTATACGGTAGAAGTTGCTTTCTGATTGCCTAAGACAGAGGTGAAAAATGGAACTCAAAAGGAAACGGTGAAGAGCTTCAACGAATTTGCCATGTGCCACATATTTATGACCAGGAAGCAATTCGGGCCAACAACTCAAATTATTGAAAACTTTTTGGTCTATTTATATTGCCATAGCCCATCAAGTGTAAAAACGCAACTCGAACTTCATATTTCATTACCATGTCAGTTTTATTTGATGATTATCCAAGAGGTACTAGCAACATGAACATATTCCAATGTCTAAACATTATGTGAAACCGTATGATAAATATAAGAATCAAGCAGTGAGTTTTTGTTACAAGGGATGCGGATATACAACGATTAACGGCGGGGGGAACAAGATCGTTCCGTACATTCGGACCTCAGTAATCGTCAAGGGATACTAATTAAGTGAACAAACACAGGTGTCGAAGTCCAGGCTAGGTCAACAACAATTTTGGTGAAGATATCGAATTTAAAAATGTAAGTTACGTACAAAACCCAAGGTCCTGTTAGACTTACGTCGACTGATGAGGCTGTTGGAGTCTCATTACCATCACTGCAAAGACTGATGACACTCGCTAACTCCAAAGAATCAGGCTGATCTGTCAAGACTGAATCCAATCATTAAGACGGAAAATGGCTTCAAAATACCTTTAGTGTCCTTGCTTTTTTTCTTTGGCATTTGCTGTTAGATAGTTATTCCTTTTCGATTCGAATACGAAATTGATATCAACCTCCGAAGAATAAACACGAAATCACTCATAACGCACTTCCACCGCATTTATGCAACCCGCGAATCCGGACCAGGGCAATGCACAAACAAAACTTGATACTTTGTTTGTTCAAAAGTGCCGAACCTGTCTCCCGTATCTTCTTATTTGTTATGAGATGGTTAAAAAAGAGATAATATGTTTGGTCAGGTGTCATTTCCAAGTGTTTTATAAAAATTCAATTACAGCTACAGCGGCTCCAAGACTTATCTGGGAACTGTCCTCTATTCTTTTTCTGTGATATCTGATTGGCTTTATAACCAAGAGGCTTGCAGCGTGTATTCTGTCTTCTAACTTCGATCTATCTTGAACTGTATTGATCGTGGTAAACATATCCACTCCAAATTGACTGAATGCTTACCTTAAGACCAACACTGTTCTACATGCTTCGAAATTACTATGAATAGAGATTCTAGGTCCATAACTCTTGATAATTTTGGAATAGTGCTAAAGGCACTGACGCTTCATTCGAGTTGGAGATACTGATATTCACGTATAACATGAGCCTGTAGACACACTTGATCGCGTTGACTGGTAATGAGACGGCTAAGTTTGCCTAAAATGTACGTATATTATAAATTTCTACTTGCAACAAGATTTGGTGACGTAGATATTTTTACCAATATTTTCTTGCAATAACGTCATGTTTGCCTCATTCAGTTATCGGAGGAGAGCCAGTATCTGGATACTATCAGTCAATAATCTACATTAGGTAATAACCTTAAGACGTGACTGTGACGTAAGTTAAGAGGCCACAAGTTTCCGTCCAACTCCATCACGAACACTGATCACCTACGCTGACGATCCACATATCGATTCTCCATTCAACCTCTTACATCAGACTTCGGATGAAATTCATTGTTTGACGTCATTAATAAGCAGGATGTTCAATATTCTAAGATTATTTGTTTGGACATGCATCAACGGAGAATTCGGTATAACTGTCTACTCAATATAAGTGGGCTTGACTAAACGCTTGCTTTTAGCCAGATCACAGCAAGCAAAAGTCAGTTGATAAATAGGTTTGATGTTGAAAAAACATGTATGTGTGGAAAAATCCAAGGTTATAAGTGAACGGATAACAAAGACAAGTATATTGGTACATAATTACTCGAATGAATTAAATTGATATTCGCTATGAAATTTAGGATGAGCTAGTGTAATCCATGGTTTATGGTACTGCCTTTAGTTTGTAAATGATCATTCCCATCCAGATTTTCCTCTAAAAGAATAGTTTCAGAAGGACAGCTGTATCTTCCATCATTGAGCGAACCTTATACAAGTGATAATTTATAATGTTTTAAATCTCAGTGGACAAATATATCCACAGGTTTGAAGGAAATTTACTCCCCTGGGTCAACCTATTTTCATCCAAAAGCTCTTTAGTGGTGATCAAGTCTAAGTTGACTATGATTACCACCAAATACTAATTACGATCCCGTCATTGAGAAGATAAATAAATTCAGGGTAAAGAATATATTTGTTGGTGTCGAAAGAACACCGAAATTAAACCAGGAAAGTGGACGAATTAAAGAGCAGCTAGAGCAAAGAAAGGCAGCAACACAAACAGAAAGTTGCACGTAAAAAATTGTTATAGAAAAATTTAAAGTTAAAGGGTCACCGGTACAATTGGTTATAATATTGAATGTTTCGATTAAACTAATTGCGTTCTTTTCATAAAAGTATTCCACTGCAGCAGCCTCCCAAGAAAGGCTTTACACTTTCAAAATGTAGCAGTCTCGTTCGGGGGGACTGATCGGCCAACATGCGACTGTAGGGCGTAAGGGTTGGAAAACATGAAGCGACCCATGAAGTTCGAGTTGACTCAGTCATTTACGGAGGACGGTGCCAACGGTAATGTGCCATGTTTGCTGCTCCAGTTAGCGTACCACGCCAGTATGGCTCGCATCCAGAGTCTGAATATTGCGTAGATAACGCAGATAACACGTGCTGTTGACTGGGACGTGAGAATGAGATCCGTGATGTATCTAGCATGGGGTCCGAAGGAGATATTGGGATCGCGCCAGTGGGTTGAACGGATCGAGCATTGAATCTCAGTTTATCGGGCACTGTCACTGACGCGTACTGGTTTGAGACGAATAATGCTTACTGTGTCCATCAACCCTGAAGGTCTTTTCGTGACGAGAAATCACGTAGAAAAACCTTCGTAAGGCTGTTGCAAAGGTTTACGTACCGAATGTGCTCATACGAAAACATATGGACCGGTAAATAACTCTCGATGGAGAGCGACCTGTCGATGTTATATTCGAGTTCACACCGGAGGCAGAGTTCGCATCTACGCAGATAGTCATTGAACGTTATCTGATATACATAAAACCGCCTCTCCGTGGTGTCAAAAATTTTCCCGGGCAGATGCAATATCGTGCCGTATACAAGTTCAGAGGCGGAACATTGAGTATCAGCCGTTGCTGCTCTGCAATCGCCATACTATGATGAGTTCGTTGAAGACACATAGGCTAGAAAATTCCTCACCGTTTTTGTTCCTTTCTCCTGGTCCATGTCGTCTCATTATATCCTTATATCTACTGTTGTCCGTTCCAACCTTCGCGTTTAGGTTTCCCATTAGAATGGCCTTGTACTTTGTCGGACATTTCTCGACGATTTACTGAGCCCATTATAGAACAGATCTCTAACGTTTACTTTGTCATCGTTCGTAAGCGCACATCTCAGATCGACGTTCATTGCACTGCCCTCTTTCTTCGTTTTGAAGGATGCGTTCACAATCTTGGATTCATGGGGCTTCTATCCTAATAGTGCATTTATTGCTTGTTTGGATAGTATCAGTACAACTCCTTGTGTATGTGAAGCACTTTCTGTCATGATATTTATGAAGTATATTTATCAGTGCTCTTTTAAACGTATCCACAAACCTTTCCGCCTGCCCGTTCGATTGCGGGTGGTATGGTGGCGAGCGTAAGTGTTTAATAGCTAGCCGTTGACAGAAAGTCTGGAATTGGGAAGAGGTGAATTGAGAGCCATTGTCGGATACGATCACATCTGGTATGCCATTTCGTGAAGAAAATTTCAGTTACGAGCTGTATAGTCTTAGTTGTAGTGGGCTCATTTCCGGCCATTTAGAGAAGGCGTCGACGACAATTAAATACATAATTCCATTTATTGGGCCAGCGAAGTCGACATGTATCCTGGACCAAGGATGATTATGTTTGGGGCATGGAACCGGCGGAATTTCGGCATTCATCTTTGCCTCCTGCTGACACTGCATGCATTTTTCAACCAACGCTGTGACATGTTGATCCATGAAAGGCCAGTATGCATAACTCCTGGCTATGGACTTCATTTGTTTAACCCCAGGATGACCGAGATGGAATTGTCTCAGCACTTTTGCACGAAGGGACTCTGGCACGACTACTCTTTCACCAAACATCAAGGAATCGTTCACGATGCATAAAGAATCCCGCCGCTGATACAGTTGCTTCATGTCACCTTCAAACTTTTTCGACGGCCAACCGTTAGTGACATATTTCATCGTCATCTTGATGACGGGGTCGTTTCTAGAAGCATTTTGTATGTCTGTTGCAGACACCGGTAATGCGCGAACTGAGGTTGTCAGATAACATTCTGCGTGGTCTTCTACTGACAGAGATGCGATCACCATGTTTTCCTCAGCCGCCACTTGATCATTAATGAGTCGTGACAAAGCGTCTGCCTGACCGAATTGTAGAGTGCGTCGATATTGGATTTCGAAATCATACCCCAAAAGTACCAAGGCCCATCGCTGAAGACGATTTGCAGAATGGGCTGGAATGCCAGATTTAGAACCAAATACCGCTAACAGAGGCTTGTGATCTGTGAGGAGCGTGAATCTCCGACCGTTCAGAAACTTATGGAAGCGGCGAACAGCAAATACAAGAGCAAGAGCTTCTTTCTCTATCTGGCTATACTTCTTTCCTGCTGGGGTTAGTGTACGGGATGCATGCATAACGGCTTTTTCCGAAGCATCTGGAAACTGATGTGAAATAACAGCACCTAGACCATATGCTGAAGCGTCTGCTGCCACGATGATCAGCATGGATGGGTCGTAGTGTGTTAATAACAATTCCGATCTAATTATAGACTTGAGTTTACCAAAAGCCGCGTCACACTCTCCAGTCCAGTTCCATGTGTTATGCTTCTGCAATAGACTATTCGATGGAGCGCGAATATCATACATCGAGGGAACAAAAGCTGAATGATAACTGATTAAACCGAGAAAAGATCGTAATTCGGAAACATTAGTGGGAGTGGGCATCAAAGATGAATCCCAAATACTTTACCGACTGCAATAGAAACTGGTATTTTTCTGGGCGTAACCGTAAACCATTGTCACACTCGCTTAAGTAGAATAACAAGGGAAACTGAAGTGCTCTCATCCGAATAACGCAACTAAACTCAGTACGATAAGCACAAAATTCGGAACTAACACTGCCAGATAATTGAAGTCTACAAAAAACAGTCTCGCTACGTTTATCAGTTTGTGTTCGCGTAGTAGGATGTATGTCTAAGCCATAGATCGTGCTGTGCTACCACAATAAAAACCTATTCAGCAATTGTAGATTGCTATTATGTGACTTACATAAAATTCACATCATTAACTTTCTAATGCTTCCAAAGAGGATACATTAGGCTGTGAAGACTATAATAAAGTTGATTTAAGAAGATTGGGCTTACATAGTGTGACCACTGTTACATGACCAAGCCCTGCCGTCTTAATAAACCGTACCTGCTTTCACCATTCCCAACCTTCTCCAAATGTTAAACGGCCAACGGGAATCTTTCCAGCAATTGTTCATTCATCTTCAAGGATAACTTGGTTAAAGATCAAAACAATTACAGTACCATTATCAACAGAAGTGCAACACAGTTACACCTGAAAATTTAAAACTCGTGGAAC